TACTCGTGCCAATACAGACTGAAAAAAAATAGTAAACAACATTATAAAAAAGTTACACACAATCAAATAAGTCTGGTCTTTTCAACCAAACTCCTTCACGGTTAATTTTTCCTTTTTTTCTCTCTACATTGAAGAACAAAAGAGAAAAGATGAATGGCACAAAAAGTTCAGCTACAAAGAACAGGCATGTTATTTTACTATATCCGCTTGAATCTTATTAAAACGACAAATTAAAATGGAAATTATGGACTCACGCTTACCGGGATGTGCTGACACAATTGTCTCAAGCACGCCAAATCACGCTGGAATCCAGCAAGAGACACGCTTGCAATCGATCTTTCTGGCTCTGCATCCATTTCTTGCCAAAGAATTGTGCGTATCTCGAGAAGCCAATCACAAACCAATAATTGAGTAAGCTGAAAGATAAGCACGAGTAATTAGTAGGAAACAAAAAAATTGCACACACGACTCACGTAGACACAAAACTGTTACATATACATATAAATGGTGCTGCAACCTGCCACAGGAGTTGCACTGCAGGAGTATTGCATAGTTATATTTCATGCAATGCAACTACAATGCACACTTGTAACAGGTAAACGGTAGCACGGTTTACGCTTGAAAGAAGTTACCCTTAGCATGTACAAATAAACAAAAAGTGACTATACAATGTGAGTATACAATATTTCTATTTTGTTAAACTTACCAAGACTTGCTGCGAAGATTGCTCCTTGCAATGATAGTACACCATAGATTGCTCGAGTAGTAATCCCGCCTGATCAATGAAACGCATAGAAACTAACTTTGTAGGATTTTTTGCCACCTGGAGAACACTAAGAACAGCATGGGGTAATGGACTGCTACTGCTGTTGTCGCCAACTTGGAAGTTCTTCTCATAGGGAAATTTACTTTCCACAATACTCCATGCCTTTGAATCTTCCTCTCCCAATCTCCAACTCGCGGCAGCGCAGATTACAGCTCCCCACCATAATCCAATCTCATCTTCGCATGCTGCAAAAATAAAGAGAAAAAATAAAATATATTGCGCAACAATATATTCACTTGCAAACAAAAAAATAGACCAGTGTAACGTTACTGTGGCCCATTTTTTACTGAATATATACTAAATATAATTACAATAATAACAATATAATTAAAAAACATACATTAATGTGATATTCTTTTTAAAGTGCGATTTTTCTTTAGTTTCAAATAGTCTTTTACACTTTTACATACTTGCTACACTAATTTTGTCGGCACACGGGAAACAGGCTTCCACTTCCGCAGAAGCCATAATCATCCGTCCTAATTCAAGTACAGAGGATGCATGACATTCTCCAACCGTGCCGGTCAATAAACGTAGACATTGCTTGATCAAATGATGCCTGTACGCACGAGCCGCGTATGACAACGGATCCGCTCGACTGTTCTGTGATGTGAACTCGCTGTCAGACTGTTTCTTGTACTGCCACTTTTGAGATACCAAGAACCTAGCGCCTTCGTCGGTCATAATCCATTTCAATTTCGGGGGAACGGCGCAAGAAGATAGCAAAACGCGTGCTTTACCCAGATAATATTTGTGTATGTATGGAAAGAAGGACTGTTTCAGACACAGTGCGACGTTCATGTAGATCTCCGCCAAAAATGATTTTGGCATACTCTCGCCAGCAGTTTCCGCGTAATTAACGGCGCAAAGAGCAAGATATAACGTTGAATCTTTAGTTCCTTCAGACATACGAAGACAGAGCATATGCTGGTAAACTATGGCAATTTCCACGGCGGATGTCTCCGCTTGTTGCCGTTCTGATTTCTCCGACAACCACTTGCTGATGTGCATGACCCATCTACCCAGCCATAATTTGTGAAGAGTTTGCCGCACTATTTGCCACGTAGTTGCGAGAAAAACCTCCGTACGTGATAACGGGAAGGATCGACCGAAATATTGCAAGCACTGATGTAAATCTCGATATGCCTGATTGCATTCGTGTTTGGATATGTTGAATTCGGCCTGACGTCTCCAACGACGTATTTCGAGAAAGATTTTGCTGTCGGTAGGCAAAATGGGATCACCGTAAAGTAACAGTTTGTAGAGACAAATTGCCAAGAGTATTAGATTAGTAAACCAGAGGACAACATTGCTCCACGGTTGCTTGTCCGATTCTAGCTGATCTGCAAATGAAAAGAAAAAGAATGTATTAACTGTAAAAAAATGTATCAAAAAGTGATTGGAAAAAAATATAATCCACGTGCGTTTATTACCTGGATAATTGAGTATCGTTCGTCCATCCAGTTTCGTCTTCACATAATCATAATTGAATCTTCCAATATTGTTCATGAGGATACCAAGAGGATTGAATGCTAAAAATAATAGCATAAATCCGCACAATGTCAGTCGAGTGTGATCTTTCATGCCTCCAATGGACGAAGTTGATACAGGGTGTAAATTATGCAACGCATCTGGATCGTCCTTTACCGATGACGGGGATGGTGGTGATGGCGGCGCAGGTGCGGGTGACAAAGATGGTTCGCTCGAATCGGAGCGTGGAGGTGTCAGCTCTCCACACTGGATTTGTTGGTACAAATCACGAAGATTGTGCCGTTGTGCAGACAACTTCAACGCCATATTTTCAGCCTTTAATTTTGCACTGTAATTCTGCAGATGCCTGCATTACACAAAAAAACAACAAGAAATTCAAAAGCTATCCTTCTTGTATAATAATCCTTAATATAACGCGAGATCTCTTATCATTCTTGCCTGATGTAGTCGATAGTTTTTCGTAAAATTGCCGACTTGTTCAGTTTGGCGTCAATTCCAACTACAATGTTTTTCAATTCAATTATCTTATCATTGATCGACGTCCTATAACGACGCTCAATAGCATTGTGGGCACTGCGTTTCACTTCTCTTACTCTTGGTACGCTTACATGTGTGCCTGTGTTTAGACGATTAATTTGTACCTTGTCAGTGTCCAATACTACAGGTATTCCTTGAATCAAACAATAGCATTAAATTAATGTATGCTATAAAATTACATTTACATTCTTCTTTCGCATAATTATTCGTTAATTTAGTTTTATAGATTTAAGAATAAATAAAATACAATAAAATGCCTATATAAATCTCTATGGTTGTTAAGGTGATAAGATATAATTTGCAAACAATTGAAATATATACTTAATATACTTAACTAAATATACTTAACAAAGCTAATTACACATGCACTGCACTTATAGTCAACTTTATTGTTAAGTACATTCTAATTGTTTGCTAGGTATTTTAAGTATTTTAATTGTATAGGCATTTTGCTTATATTTGATAATCATTCATGTTTATATCCAAATAGTATAAATCTCCATATAGCACAGATCTGAAGAAACATCCCCTATTGTAAGAACATTTCGAGGATATTTCTCAGATAGAATGTACTATGTGAATATATAAATATAATAATATTGAAAAACTTCAAATTCTTAATTGTATTTATTTACCGGTAGTTAACACTGTTCCATTTGTAGTATTCACAAGAGTATGTATTTGGTGTGGAACAGGAGTCGATGTGATGGTTTGTCCACCCTTTGAATACACGAGAGATTCTGACTTAATTAATTTTGCTGGAAGAAGTAGCTGTCGCTGTTGAGTAACAGGAGCTAGGGTTACAACATTCGGCGACTGTACATTAAAATTCACATTTTGTGGTATAGTGTACTGCGAGCTGAATACTGTAGGCTTTGTCGAAGCTACTATTCTCTGTGGTCTATTCTGTGGCACCGATGTAATGTCCTGCTGAATATAAGCAACAGGTGTAGTGCTATCAGTCTGTTGTGTCACCATAACATTTGAGTTTGATGGCTCAAGGATTGCTGGATCTTTAAAGTCTTTAAACTCATCGTTATTAATATTTAAGAAATTAAATGTATCTCCATCAACTGGCATTGGCTCATCCAATTCGGAAAGTAAAGCCTCATCGCTGAAAAGCTCATTCTTCAGCAATTCACTCTCGCAATTTGTCAGAAGATCTGCAAATCAACAATTATATTTTATCAACAATAATATTGACACTAATATCTAATAAAATATTTAACAAAAAAATGTCAATTATAGTCAAATATGTTCTGAAATTTCTTCAACTATTTTTGATATAATTATAAAAAGATATGTAAATTAAAATAATTATATGTAGCATATGATTTCGTAGAGTAGTAGAAATCATTATTAAGGCCCATAAATAGATAAGATTAAATTCAATCTTGATTCAATTGTTTACCTTTTTTAATTTTTAAAATGTTAATGTGAAATATTTTATCATTATTGATAAATTACAGTAATAATTATTTACTTGTAGATTTTTAGAATTAGAAAAAGATAAAGTAAATTGAACTAAGATTAATCTTACATTGTAAGTGGAACTGAGTCGAAGTAATCAATGTGATATGTTTACGCTTCCAAACAAATGCATAGCAACAATCAAAACAGGTAAGAGATTAAACAAGATTATCTCCTCAACAATGAAGTAAGGTAGGGTGCGTTTTTTAATTCATTAATTGATAAATCGCCAATTTGTGCGCAAATGTATTTTGTTCCGTAAAAGCATATAAGGTATAAGGTGACTCAATCGATGAATTAAAAAAAATTAGCCCGTAATATCTGACGATAAAATACGTTAGTTTCTCGAAATACGCGCGAATTTGTGGAGGAGAGAAAGAGATAGAGAAAGTGAAAGAGAGGACGTGATGCACGTTGTAAAAAGCGGAGCGCAAGACCTACCATCGATGCCAGTAACTTCGTTCAAATTGAAGCTGTCATTCGATTGAAAATTGGGAAAGTCATTTTCCTGGGCTGATGTCCAGCCGCCTGAGTCTGCCATTACCGTTATCGGCCTCAAACATACGCGATCACGTTGAAGAAAACTAACGAGCCGTTGATTTTGCGAAGCGGTCACACGATACGTCAAAACACAGTAGACGGAAAATTATAAACGATCGTACGATCCTCGTGCAACCAATCCGGGCCGTAGCTGTCGATCAGACGATGTTGCGTCATCGGCGCGAGTTCCTAAACTCATTTAAACTTCGCAGAATGCTCACCACTCCATGGGTCAGTTCGAAAAAAATCCTTGACACTGGTTCGGAAAGAAACAATGCCGGAAATATGCCGCTCTACCAACAATCGCGGAGAAAATATTACTAGAATCGTAATCGAGGACTTTTGGGTCTCAGGTATTTCTAGTAATGATTTCTAGAAATCTCTTTTGGCGGTAATCGCTCTAATTTTGCTCTTAACCGCTTTTTCCTTCATTTCAATCGTTGATTTTAATCGAATAACACGTACGAATATTTTCGTTCATTTATTTTAAGTGACCAGGAAACACGTAGTGTCTCGCATTAAAAGGAAGCATAGCATCGAAGCGCGAGACCAGCTGTCTTCATAGATATAGTTTTGCTCAAAGCAATCATTGACTTTTTCGTAAAAGACGATACAAAAATGAATCTATCTTCTAAAAATGACTCAAGTGCGATTGATTCCAGTTGCTATTCAACTTCTCTAACAGGTAAATTTATGATTTTAGTTTCATCTTTTGTAAATTGTACCAATGTATTACTTATTTACATAACTTTTGTTTGTATACTACTTGTATATTTTTTTATTTATATGCTGATATCCATAAAGATCAAAACTAAAGATGAGTTTATAATGTTCTGATCATGTTAACGATTTTCTCAAAATTCTAGAAAAGAAAAAGATATACATACTTTCTTTCTGTATATTAACTTTAATTAAGATTATAAGGCCTGTTCTTTTTGGCTGCTTTTTGCACCAGTTCATCTTTCTTCCTTTTTTTTTCCTGGAGAGAAGAAAGATGAACTGGTGTAAAAGTTCAGCCAAAAAAAAAAACAGGCCTATAGATTAAGACATACAATACATTTTTGTCATTTTTAACAAGAGAATATTTGTTCTTTTGGAAAATTGTTTTATTTTTATTTTTGTCAATTTCAGTTTTAAAAGTATGTATATCTTTCTCTTTTGTAAAATTTTAATAAAACTGCTTTGTTTAAGATCTGTAGTCATGACCAAATTTATAGTGTGTTAATGAGGTTGAACAGATGAAAAAAATTTATATAAATTTATGTTCAAAAATGCTTTATTAAAAAGTTATAAACATTCAAATATTTATAAAATAGTTTTACAGAATTTTATAGAATGCATTCACTATTATTTTTAGTATAGTAGGAATATTCAAATGAGTTTGACATATAAGTCTATTCTTTCAGGTATTTCTAGTAATGAATCAGAAGAATTTTATGAATCAATTCTAAACAGAATTTTAAGATTTGTAACATGTTCTCATAAAACTTATAAAAAATTTACGACTAATATTTTAATTTTATGGATATGTATCGTAAGATATACAATTATTCATAAATATCTACGATTTCTTATAAATTTTATGGCTAATAAGAAGTTATCTGTAAAAATATTATATTAAGGTATAAAAATGTTTACAAGATTATGTTACAAGTCTTTTGATTTTGTTTAGAATTTAGGCATTAATTGTGTCAAATTTAACAATAAAAGAAATAATAAATAATAACAATAAAGAAATAACAATAAAAAAAATAACAAATAACAATAAAAGAAATAACAATTCTTCATCCTTCGACATCCTTGGATGTGATTTATAAATATCATACAACAAGGCTGTTTTTACTTGATGCTATGACTTGATCATTTTCAGCATCAAAACAAGTTATGTGATCAAAATGGACAAATATCAAGCATTAATTTTAATCATGTTTTGATGCTGAAAATGAACGTCATAGCGTTAGGTAAAAATCCAGCCCAATATTTGATACTTGATTATTTGATTTTCTGTTGAGAATTTCAATAAAGGATTTAGCAAAGAGGCATTATAGATTTTGTTTTCTCTTTTAAAAATATATCAATATTTAATTAATATATTTATATATCCCATTGACGCTAATCTAAAATATTTCGTTTTTTCTTGTAGAAGATACATTAATTGCCCCAAGTGATGTTAAGTTTAATAATGGTCCGTTGGAAGAAGTGAAAAAGCCAATAAAACGTAAAAAAAATAATAGTTCCAGCGAAATTGAGCTTAAAAAGAAAGAGGAGGAAGAATATAACAAGGAAGCAAATGAGCAGAAATACAAACAATTGATGCATTTGTTGAATAAAAGCAAATTTTACTCGTCCTATTTGATAAATAAGATTGATGATAAAGATAAAAATAAAAATAATAAAAATGAAAAGGCTGCCAAAAAGAATCATTACAAACCTGTTTCACAAAAGAGATCTATTGAAAATGATGAAAATATATCACCAGTAAAGAAGAAGAGGACAGCTAATGGAAAAAAACGTAACGTGCAAGAATACATATCTTCAGAGGCAAGCATAATAAGATTTGGATTCTTGGATAATACACAGACACAATTTAAAATTGATTAAATTTTTTACAGATAACGAGACAGGTAAAATCCACAAGGGAAAAAAAGAATCTAAGCCTAGAAGAGATAGAGGCAGAATTATCTGTGGACTCAGATAATGAACTGAAATTCGAACCGGAATCAAAAGCAAATGTTACCAGCACTGATATTGTACCGACATTACCAAAATATTTTTGTGGCAATCTGCGCGATTATCAATTAAAGGGTTTAGAATGGTTAAAGCTACTTCATAAAAACGGCCTGAGTGGAATCTTGGCTGATGAAATGGGGCTTGGAAAAACAATACAAACGATAGCTTTGATATGTCATCTTGTAGAAGAAAGACAAGCAGGGCCTTATTTAATAATTGCACCTCTCTCTACTATACCAAATTGGCTCATAGAATTTGAAAGATTCAGTCCCATCATACCGATTTTTTTATTCCATGGCACAATAAAAGAAAGAGACGCTGTACGCATGAAAATTAAATGTGCACATCCTGTCGAAGATAATTATAAGACACAGCCTGTTGTAATCACTACATATGAAGTACTACTATACGAAAGTAAATTCTTTCAATCTCTAAGATGGAAATACATCATAATAGATGAAGGACATAGAATAAAAAATTATAAATGTAAACTGGTCAAGTATGTAGCCATTAAAAAACTAATTTAGTTATTTTCAAAACTACGATTACAAGTTCAATAAAATAATAGATATTTCGATATATTTGATAGACACTTGAAAAATATACTTAATTTAGAAAATGATTTTCTCATTTAATTGAACTTTTGTATTATTAACTCTCCTTTTAACATTAAGATTTATATAATGTTTATTTTTTAGAGTGCTACGTAGTATTCGTTCCATGAATAGGCTAATATTAACTGGAACTCCACTTCAAAACAATTTATCTGAGTTATGGTCTCTTTTGAATTTCCTATTACCAGAAATCTTTGATGATTTAGATACATTTGAATCATGGTTTGACGTTAAAGAACTTCAATATCAACATGGCACTGAAAAACTTCTGAAGCAGGAAGAAGAGAAACATATATTATCATCGTTGCGTGAAATTTTAAAACCATTTATGTTAAGACGAGTAAAATCTGAAGTTTGTTTAGAAATTCCTCCTAAGAAAGAGTTGATTGTTTATGCGCCGCTCACGGAATTACAATACGATTTATACAAGGCAGTATTAAATTATGATTTAGAAATGTTAAGTAAAATTGAGGTACCGGATCTGATTATACAAACTGTAAATGGTGAAAGACCGAAAAGACAATGCTTTTTGAGAAGTCCGTACGGATCTATCAAGGACAAATCCAAGGATAGAGTATTGAATATTTCAGTACAAGAAAATAATATTGAACAAAAACCAATGAAATCTGAAGACAAATTATCGAAATGGAAACAATATACTGATGTCACAGAACGTAATAGAGAGTTTTTTGTTCGCATTAATTTTCAAAATAGAAGTAAGTATTGTTGCATTAACGCAATATTTCAGATGGTTTCCACGTTTTATGTTATTTCACTTTTATTTATATTTTCTAGTGCCAATGTATAAAAAGATAGTGAATCATCCATACTTGGTTCACTGTCCGCTGAATTCAACTGGTTTACCGAAAATTGATAATGATTTAATCAGATCCTCCGGCAAACTTTTAGTATTGGACGCTATGCTAGCAAAATTGAAAATGCGAGGTCACAAAGTTTTATTATTTTCGACAATGACTATGATCTTAGATGTGATTGAAGATTATCTTACGTTACAAGATTATAATTATGTGAGATTAGATGGTAGCACTAAAATTGAAGTACGGAAACAAAATATTGCTGCTTTTAATAACGATCCAGATATGTTCTTGTTCCTTATATCAACTAGAGCTGGTGGAGTTGGATTAAATTTAATGGGTGCTGATACCGTTATTGTATACGATAGTGATTGGGTGAGTTAATATCAGTGTAATTTTCCACTCTTTCCATCCGTATTTTATTCACACTTGCTTTTTAATGTTTACAGAATCCACAAATGGACATACAAGCTATGGCTCGATGTCATAGAATAGGGCAAACAAAACCCGTGGTTGTCTACAAGCTATGCACTAAAGGAACAATTGATGAGGCAATTATGAAACGAGCCGACGCTAAACGTATTTTGGAGAAAATAGTTATGTCAAAAGAACTACAATCTCTTAATATAAATACGCTATTAGAGATGAAAAAGCTAATGGAATCTAAAGAATATAAAATTGTTACATCTGAGAAAGAAGGTAAGTTCTGGCCATCACATTTTCTAAATAATAAAGGTATATAAAGAATTGCTGAAATTAATAGATCAATCTTTTTTGCAGTTTTTACAGAGATGGAATTGAACAACTTGTTAGATAGAAGTGATATGATAATTAAGAACGAA